GGACAAAATTAGCATGAAATTAACTGGTGCTCTGAAAACAGAAATATATATATATATATATATATATATATATATATATATATATATATATATATATATATATATATATATATTTGGATGCTTATTCGTATGGGGCCGTATTATATTGTTAGTAGATGTTCCGTTGAAGGATCCATAAAACCTGAGGCTTGTTCATCTTTTTTCTGTGAAAATCTTTTACCACGATTCTTTGTTTTCAGTAGTTCAAAAACGTGTGGATGGTCCTGCACAAGCCTTCAAGTCTATAATCAAATACACTGTAGGGGTTTTCTGACAACTTTCAGCATTTTAATTCCACGCATTTTCTTGCTTTCAACTAATATTTCGGGAGAATTAAAGCTGTGGGTACAGGTAAAGCATATTACAAGATGTCTTTATCTGGAACTCTACATAGTGGCGACCGCAGAGTGATGGCTGTGTTTTTCGTGCCTGGTAGTAATGACAAATCAGGTCTTTTGGGATACAGCATTGCTTTCTCCCACAACGTGTTTGAGGCGAGAAAAGCATTGCTTACTCATAATATCGATTTTGCAGACAGCTCTACCAGTCTGGTTATCCAATATTGCTCTCTGAAGAAGAAATATAAGAAATTGAAATTTGGCTCTTAGAATGTACACACCATGCATGACTCTGACTCGGATTCAAAATGCATTAGTTTCACTTGAGCTGAAGATGTACAGCATTGATATAACTACTCTCAGCGGGACCCGACCTTGCTCATCAGAACTTGAAAAAGTGGAATAGGTCATGAATTTTATCGTCTAGTAAAGGCGCAAACAAAGCCAACCAATCTCGTCTTACGAAGAACTGAGCTCCCTTCCAAACGCTCCATACAACGGTATCATGAAGCTGATCCAGATCACAAACATCAGCGCTAAACTTATCAGTTGTTATGTGCCTACAATGAACAGCACTCAACTAGCGAAACCTGATTCCTACAACAATGTTCGTAATGCCATCGTCCCCCGTCAAACACGGTGATAAACTTATTGTAATGAAGGACTTGTGGAATAATGTATTATTCCATCTACAACATTCTACGCGCGCGCGAGTTTCCTCCCTTTCTTCCACACTCGCGTGTGCGCGCGCGCGTTTGACACCCCTTCCTGTCTCTTTCAGTCAAATACAGTAGTAAACTGGTTTTGTCGTCAGTCAAGCGACCTGCTATTCCTTCTTATGCAAATTAGATTTTTGAAATCCGCGAAATTTCTGCGACGTCACGGACAAACTGTTGTTTCAAAAAGTTAGTTGTGATCCAGACTCGGACCTAAGCAGACTCATTTTATCCATGTCAATATTTAAGGTTGACAGACGAAGGATATCTTACGATGCGACCACAAATATTAATTCTTCGACCCTTTTGGCTCGTGGCACAAAAATCCTTCTGCGAGACGATGCAAACACCAAATATTAATTCTTCGCCCTTCTGGACTCGCCATAATTAACTTCTCATAGACGATGCGAACGACCGCAACTAGCTCTTCGTCCTTTTGGCTAGACGTCCACAGCATCCCGTTAAAATTCTCAACAGTTAATTCAAAAACCTAACCGAACTCTGAGACCCTACTTTGAACCTGAACACAAAAGAAAAAACACAAAAAAATATATATAACATTTCACTCACACTAACAAAATCTCGCAGTGAGTATTTTTCTTTGTATGTATAATATTCTGGTAGATTGACTTTTCTGGAACCTTCTTCTTCAAGAACTTTTCCCGCCTTAGCCATCTTATTTTCTAATTTTGGCGCGGAACATTTTCATTGATCCCTACCACGGGATAAGTTACTTGTTTTCTTTCATTTAATAAAAAAACTACTCTTGTTTGAATCCAGTCTTTTTCTGTCATTCTGTGCCGGCTATCTTAATATATTTAATTTATGCACGTGTGGACTAACTGCATCACTTCGTTGTTCATTCACGCTTTTTATTTTTTTTTACTTTGCTTGTAGACTCGATTGTTTAGTGTGGTGTCTGGCACAAGGCCACTTCGTAATAAACCAGCACTGCACCCTACCGGGCCTGCAACAAGTTTGGTGACCCGAGACGTGAATTGAACACGCAATAATTTTGAAACCTTGCCAACATAATTCTGAGCAAGCTTAAATATAAACGTGCATAAATTCGATAGCCAGAATGACGTCTAGTGACTCTGAAGAGTTGGCGAACATGACCGCCGCCGTCGCTCCTTTTCCCCACTTTCATGAAGGGAATATAAAGAACTGGTTCCTGCAAATGGAAGCTATTTTTACTGTCAGAAGAATTACAGACCAAAAAGCAAAGTTTGGTCACGTGGTGGCGGTTTAGCCACCCGCCATTTTCGACGAAGTATCGGACTTTCTAAAAGCCGTCCCTGAGGTAGAACCGTACACCCGGTTGAAAGATGCTATCTTAAGAAGAATGGGCCGCACGGAGGAAACATTAATCCGTGAATTATTCAGTAATTTAACTTCCGACGGCAGGACTCCCTCACAACTTCTTCGTTATATGAAAAGCCGACTCGGCAAAAATACCATGGCTGACTCGATTTTGAAATGCTTGTGGCTGGATCGTCTCCCCACCACCATTACCCAAATTTTGGCGCCTATGTCCGAGAACACCCCGATCGACCAGTTAGCGGACGCCGCTGATCGTATTTTCTTGCAACTGGATCATCAAACAACGCCAGTACACAGTGCTGAAGCGACTAGTGACCACAGGTCCTTAGAAAAAACAGTGGAAGATTTACAGCGCCAAGTTAGAGATTTAACATTAGCTCTAAAAATCCATGGTCGAAGCCGGTTCCCTTCCCGCCGGCGCTTCAGGAGTCGATCACGCTCGTCCAGTCGAAACAAGGATGCCACTTCTATTATGTGTTATTACCACCGCCGATTTGGGTCTGCAGCACATTACTGCACCAAGCCGTGTACCTATACTGCGGTCGCGGAAAACAAAACCGCCAGCGAGTAAAACCGACTAATCTCGCTGGCAAGGCATTTTCACCGAAGCTTAGTCGCCTTTTCTACGTGACGGATACACGTAATAATTTACGTTTTTTGGTTGACACCGGCGCTGCCATTAGTGTATTACCCGTGCGTGATAAAGCACGTCAACAACCTTTTCAGCTCCGCCTACAAGCAGCAAATGGTTCCAGTATTAATACTTACGGTACGAAGTCCCTTACCCTAAACATAGGAATGCGACGAGACTTCACCTGGAATTTTACTGTTGCTGACGTCCAGATGCCTATATTAGGTGCTGATTTCCTGGCACACTATGATCTAGCCGTTCGAATGAACAACCATTCGCTAACAGACAACTTAACAAGACTGTGTGTTCTTGGCACTTACTCTAAACTTACCACCACTGGCATCACCGTGGCAACTTGCCACAATAAGGAGTACTTAGACTTATTGAATCAGTACCAGGACCTCCTGCGTCCTGCTGGATCTATTGATTCAACTAAACATCAAACGCAGCACTTTAGTAAGACCACTGGTCAACCTTTTTTTGCCCGTCCTCGTCGTTTAGCACCTAACAAATTAAAATTCGCAAAGAAAGCTTTCGACGACATGTTACGAGAGGGTGTTATTCGTCCGTCCGACAGCCCCTACGCTTCCCCTCTTCATTTGGTACCTAAACCAGGAAAGGAAGATGATATAATTTGTGTGGATTATAGAAGGTTGAATTCCATTACCGTCCGGGATCGTTATCCAATCCCCCATCTCCACGATTTCGCTTCTGGTTTACAAGGCGCAAAGATTTTTTACTAAAATAGATCTCGCAAAAGCATATTATCAGGTGCCAGTAGCTGCTGCTGATGTCCCCAAAACTGCTGTTACTACACCCTTTGGTTTATTTGAATTTTTGAAAATGCCTTTCGGCCTTTGCAACGCAGCACAGACCTTTCAGCGTCTGATAGACGAAGTTCTGCGTGGACTCCCCTTCGTTTTCAATTACATTGACGACATCTTGATAGCTAGTGAGGACGCTGCCTCTCATAAGCGACACCTACACGAAGTTCTTCAACGTTTGTTCTCATTACGGATTCCGTCTAAACCTGGACAAATGTGTCTTCGGATCAGACCATATAGAATTTTTAGGACACCATATTGATGCAAATGGAATTGCCCCTATAACTGAAAAGATTAAAGCTATCACTGAGTTTCCAGTCTCTGTTTCTATTAAACAGTTGAGACGCTTTATAGGGATGATCAACTTCTATCGGAGATTCATTCCAAACTGTTCTAACATTCTGACTCCCCTTACCAACTTATTACAGAAGAAGAATAAAACTATTATACTTGAGAATGAAGCCTTGGACGCCTTTCGAGCAGCTAAAACCGCTCTAGGCAATTTTTCTAAGCTCAGTTTCTTAGAGGACGACCCTCAGTCGGATATCTACCTGACCACTGACGCTAGCGAAACAGCAATAGGTGCGGTCATTGAACAAGTCAGTCCTTCTCAACGTAAACCCATAGCGTTCTTTTCCGCTAAATTTTCTCCTGCCCAGTCACGCTACAGTACCTTTTCTCGTGAACTGTTGGCTATTTTTCGTGCTGTTAAGCATTTTAGACACCTCCTCGAAGGTAGGTCCTTCGTTATCTTTACGGACCACAAACCTTTAACGTCCATTATGTCCACCAATTCGGACAAATACACTTCGAGGGAAATCAGATATCTGGACTATATATCTCAATTTACTACTGATATTAGGTACATTAAGGGTTCGGATAACACTGTCGCCGATACCCTATCTCGTACTGAGATGTTCGTCGTGCATACTGATGCACTCAGTCAAGATTTGATCGCCGACGAATAGGAAGCGGACATAACTCTGAAGCATGTGTTATCCGACACTTCTTTGGACCTTCAGAGATGTCCAGCTCCTTTTAGTAACAAGGTCCTATACTGTGATGTTAAATCCAAATCCCCAAGACCTTATGTTCCTCCGTCTCTTCGTAGACAGTATTTTGACCACCTACACGGACTCTCACACCCTAGCAAAAGAGCCACAGTTAAATTAATTTCGGACCGTTTCGTTTGGCCGAATATGAACGTTCACATTCGCGAATGGGTCAATACATGTTTACAATGTCAGAAGTGTAAGGTGCATAGACACACAAAATCTCCTGTGGGCACTTTCAGTGAGCCTGATGCTCGTTTTACTAATATACACCTGGACTTAGTTGGGCCCCTACCAACCTGCCATGGTTATTCCTACCTTTTAACTATAGTGGATCGTTTTTCCCGATGGCCTACTGCCATCCCTGTCAAAGATACCACTGCTGTGACTGTCGCAAAAGCTATTTTATGCGATTGGATTTCGATCTTTGGGACTCCTAAAGTGGTTACTACGGACAGAGGAGCACAGTTCCAGTCGTGTCTTTTCAGGGAATTCACCGAACTCCTTGGTGCAAAGCATATACGTACTACAGCGTACCACCCCTGTGCTAATGGTCTAGTGGAACGGTTCCATCGCACCCTTAAGGCTTCGCTATCAACGAAGCATGAGAATAATAATTGGGTCGATGAATTACCCCTCATCCTTCTATCGTTAAGAAATATTCTTAAGGATGATTTGAAATGCTCCCCGGCAGAGCTTGTATTTGGTACTTCGTTATCTTTACCCGGCCAATATTTTTCACCAGCTGTGACCACACCTCCAGTTTCTTTCTCTTTTATTCAAGACTTACGCCTTAAAATGGCAGACTTATGTTATACACCACCGCGGCACTGCCTGAGTGATATATATTTACCGCACCAGCTCCAGGACTGCGAGTTTGTATTTGTTCGTAACGACTCTGTTAAGCGGCCTCTTACGCCGGCCTACACAGGCCCATACCGCGTTCTTAAACGCGCGGACAAATATTTCCAAATACAAAAAGGTATTCACACCGACAACGTTTCGATAGATCGGTTGAAGCCTGCTTTTATAGAGAAACCGTCGTCCCATACAACTTCCCAATCAACTCCGCAAGTTCAGGAGAATTTCAAGACACCTGTTTTCTCGACAAACCTAAGTATACCAGCTCTGGTCAAAAAAGACACCTCTCCAAAGAAATTTGAAACATTCTATTATTATTAGTTAAATGTCTGCGACATTTAATCCAGGGAGAGGGCTGTGTGGAATAATGTAATTACTCTTTTAATATTTAGTATCACTTTCTCTTTTAATGTTCTATAATTAGAATTTTGGGAGTGTATTTTTATCTTCTTAAGGGAGTTTCATTTTAAAATTGATAATTTAAATTTAAGTATCCAACTCTTTAACTATTAATAGTAATAATAATATTAACGAAATTCCTTTAATAATGAAGCACTTCAGAAGTCACCTAAAGTTAAACTTTAACTATAAAATCAAACTAAAATCTAAATAAATTTCAAATATTAAAATATAGGTAATGATTGAGAAATGTATGTATATATAATTTATGTATGAAGATAGATGAACATTTGTGTATATTGTTACAAGTGTGTCTTTGTGTGTATTTGCACATGTAAATAAACGTATGTATATATGGATTTGCATGAATATGTTTGAGAGATACATATAAGAAAAAAACAAAATATTTAATATTACCCTCAAATATTATGAAATGATGAAACCTAAACCTTAATTAAGTTTGTCCATATAATAATAAAGAAAAAATTGCATTCATAAATTAGATTAAAAATAAAACTAATATAGATATTAACGAATTTTTTTTACAATATTATGGAAGTACAATTGGTCGGGTAAATAAACTATTATCATTTGAAATATTTCTTTAATATGTTTTCGATAAATGTGCTAATAAAAATAGTAGTTAACTTATATTAAGTCCCTAAATTCTTTACTTAAAAAATTAAATGTTTAAATTAATAACTTTCATCATTTTTTAGACATCTAATTTTCTATCAAACATTGAAATCTATCTTTTACGTTAACCATCTAAATAGGTCAAAGTTCGGTCACTCCTCCTATCCCAATATAAAGCATGCTTAAGGGAGATATGAAATTCACCCCTCCCTATACTCTAACTTTTCTCTTTAACTACAACTCTCACTCCCCCCCCTTCACTGTTAAATTACAAAAATTACACTACCCATCAATTTCTAAACCCATTTTTCCTTTCATTTCTTTGTTGGAATTGTTACCTGATCACACGGAGTCCTTTAAAATGAATTTTGGAGAAATAAATTATTGTAATGGTACCTTAAAATGGTCTCTTTTTCATTAAATATTAGCTCTCTATTCACATTGAGCTCTCAGGATTTCATCCTCCTTGGAATTATCCATTCGGTTTGCCAAGTTTCTTCGTATATATATATATATATATATATATATATATATATATATATATATATAGATAGATAGATAGATAGATAGATAGATAGATATAATTCCTGGGTATGACGATAAACTACAACTGGCAGAAATGCCCGTGATCTGTTCCAATTTCCTAACTGACCTAGTGTGGTAGAACCTGTTATGCTACCAGGGTTTTAATAGTATATATATATATATATATATATATATATATATATATATATATATATATATATATATATATATATACACAAATGACTACGTTTAGGTACACTTTGTGCCCGATTAACTGCACAGAAACTTATGCCGCACATCTGCACGTAAGTGTATTTTATATATATTTATTAATATATATTTTGCTCTTTCTCACCAGATCGACCGCTGTTATGTTTAAATCTCATTAATAATTTTTTGTGATTATTTATTTGACTGCATCTCTATGAACACCAACACGCACGTATACTGTGGTTCATTTCTGGTCCTTTGATATATATATATATATATATATATATATATATATATATATATATATATATATATATTGACATACTTATACGTGTTGTGGTTGGGACAAAATTAGCATGAAATTAACTGGTGCTCTGAAAAACAGAATATATATATATATATATATATATATATATATATATATATATATATATATATATATATTTGGATGCTTATTCGTATGGGGCCGTATTATATTGTTAGTAGATGTTCCGTTGAAGGATCCATTAAACCTGAGGCTTGTTCATCTTTTCTGTGAAAATCTTTTACCACGATTCTTTGTTTTCAGTAGTTCAAAAACGTGTGGATGGTCCTGCACAAGCCTTCAAGTCTATAATCAAATACACTGTAGGGGTTTTCTGACAACTTTCAGCATTTTTAATTCCACGCATTTTCTTGCTTTCAACTAATATTGCGGGAGAATTAAAGCGGTGGGTACAGGTAAAGCATATTACAAGATGTCTTTATCTAGAACTCTACATAGTGGCGACCGCAGAGTGATGGCTGTGTTTTTCGTGCCTGGTAGTAATGACAAATCAGGTCTTTTGAGATACAGCACTGCTTTCTCCCACAACGTGTATGAGGCGAGAAAAGCATTGCTTACTCATAATATCGATTTTGCAGACAGCTCTACCAGTCTGGTTATCCAGTATTGCTCTCTGAAGAAGAAATATAAGAAATTGAAATTTGGCTCTTAGAATGTACACACCATGCATGACTCTGACTCGGATTCAAAATGCATTAGTTTCACTTGAGCTGAAGATGTACAGCATTGATATAACTACTCTCAGCGGGACCCGACCTTGCTCATCAGAACTTGAAAAGTGGAATAGGTCATGAATTTTATCGTCTAGTAAAGGCGCAAACAAAGCCAACCAATCTCGTCTTACGAAGAACTGAGCTCCCTTCCAAACGCTCCATACAACCGTATCATGAAGCTGATCCAGATCACAACATCAGCGCTAAACTTATCAGTTGTTATGTGCCTACAATGAACAGCACTCAACTAAAACCTGATTCCTACAACAATGTTCGTAATGCCATCGTCCCCCGTCAAACACGGTGATAAACTTATTGTAATGAAGGACTTGTGGAATAATGTATTATTCCATCTACAACATTCTACGCGCGCGCGAGTTTCCTCCCTTTCTTCCACACTCGCGTGTGCGCGCGCGCGTTTGACACCCCTTCCTGTCTCTTTCAGTCAAATACAGTAGTAAACTTGTTTTGTCGTCAGTCAAGCGACCTGCTATTCCTTCTTATGCAAATTAGATTTTGAAATCTTCCCGCGAAATTTCTGCGACGTCACGAACAAACTGTTGTTTCAAAAAGTTAGTTGTGATCCAGACTCGGACCTAAGCAGACTCATTTTATCCATGTCAATATTTAAGGTTGACAGACGAAGGATATCTTACGATGCGACCACAAATATTAATTCTTCGACCCTTTTGGCTCGTGGCACAAAAATCCTTCTGCGAGACGATGCAAACACCAAATATTAATTCTTCGCCCTTCTGGACTCGCCATAATTAACTTCTCATAGACGATGCGACCGACCGCAACTAGCTCTTCGTGCTTTTGGCTAGACGTCCACAGCATCCCGTTAAAATTCTCAACAGTTAATTCAAAAACCTGACCGAACTCTGAGACCCTACTTTGAACCTGAACACAAAAGAAAAAACACAAAAAAATATACATAACATTTCACTCACACTAACAAAATCTCGCAGTGAGTATTTTTCTTTGTATGTATAATATTCTGGTAGATTGACTTTTCTGGAACCTTCTTCTTCAAGAACTTTTCCCGCCTTAGCCATCTTATTTTCTATTGTTGGCGCGGAACATTTTCATTGATCCCTACCACGGGATAAGTTACTTGTTTTCTTTCATTTAATAAAAAACTACTCTTGTTTGAATCCAGTCTTTTACTGTCATTCTGTGCCGGCTATCTTAATATATTTAATTAATGCACGTGTGGACTAACTGCATCACTTCGTTGTTTATTCACGCTTTTTATTTTTTTTTTACTTTGCTTGTAGACTCGGTAGTTTAGTGTGGTGTCTGGCAGAAGGCCACTTCGTAATAAACCAGCACTGCACCCTACCGGGCCTGCAAAAGACTTCATTGCTCGGTTGGGTAGTGATCACCATGTCTGGGATGATATGCTTGGTTGTGATGGTGTTAAACGCATGAATTGCAATAGCCTACGCCTCTTTTATATTTGCAGAGAATTCAATATTATCATCGCCAAAACGTATTTTCAGCAACCGAAAGTCCGTAAATTCGATTGGAAACATGGCACATTCTTCATTATTTTATCACCAAAAATGCCGTAAGTGACACCGATAACATGCGTTCCTTCCAGACCACCTGAAGCTTTTCTGGTCATCCTCTCTATCGCAGTACCGTTCCATTTTGGCTTGCTCACATAGGACTGTAGAAAACATTTTTACCTAAGCTGATAAATACCAGATAAAGTGAGCTCAGCAGCAAGCAGAAGAGTGCTGTCAAGATTACCAATGATATCGAATTATCATCGAAAACACTTCGAGATTCTGTGCGTACTCTTTTTCGTAGGGGTTGCAACAGCTGGATCGCAAACATAAGGACTCAACGTCGAAGTATTGCTGTTCATAGAGCAAATGCGCAGCTCACACAAAACATCGGTTAGTGATAAAAAAACACTTCTGCAAAGAAGTACCTGAAGAGCAAAAAGTGAGTTTCAGTGATGACTCAGGAAAATATAAGACGACTAGTGGTCTGCAAAGGTTATATATATTCAGGAAGAATCAGATACAAATGAATTCTCACCCTTCTTTAAAGGTCTTATGATGATATATTATGCTAGAGAGAACAAGGTCACGCAGGTACTCACCTGAAATGTACAGACGCTTCTGTCAGACATGTCTGATATCTTTCGCCGTGGGAAGCTTCAAGTTTGTTTTAAACACACCTTTCGTTACAGATGAAGATGTTATTGCAGCTATTTGCCAGAGTTCGGGAATATATATATATATATATATATATATATATATATATATATATATATATATATATATATATAGGGAAAGACAGACATCCGGATATTGAAAGTGAGAGAGAGAGAAAGAGAGCGAGAGGAATAGTGATGAGAATTTACTGAAACTTTCTCAAACAAACAAAGGTCCCATGTTTAAAGAAATAACAATATGCCTAATTCCCTTTCTAGCTGCACGAGTAGAACTTATTCAAGCTAAGGTAATTCGTACTAAAACATTAACACTTTAAACTGATTTCTTCAATTTCATGATATATATATTTAATTTATCAGAGAAATAATCGGATTAATGTATGTGGGTGTACACATTTGCCAAGCGTTTTCTCCGTTCATTTCAAATATATTCCACATCCTTTTAGAAGCAACGTTAAAAATGTGAGTATGACTTAATCATCGTCAAATTGGATGCTGCCTATAATTTACTGTTCTGTATACTGAAGAAACCTTCTACTCTCTCTCTCTCTCTCTCTCTCTCTCTCTCTCTCTCTCTCTCTCTCTGCATTTTATCTACTATGAAATGAGGAACGTTTACATGAAGCGCCTTACATCGGGCCTAGACATCAGGTTTATATCGATGTAAATGTTGATTATCTATGGTTGCGACGACGCCAAGATCATTTGACGGGATGTGAGAGATGTCAGTAGTTAATGTGTAATGCTAGCTGTTATTAATCACTGTAATTTGTGGTTCGGCATGCCAACTGATACTTAAACTCCGGAGAAGACGGACGTTACCAGCCCACAACGGTACGGCATACTGTGAAAACCACATGGTCCAGGTGATAAATAGAGGGTACAACAAGCTTCCCGTTTTACAGTTGCGAAATATTTGAATTATGACCTTCTCATTTTTCTCCACATTCACACTGCTTTTTGTATAATTTTTGTCACATTTTTCTGTGTTTTCATAAAAGTTGTTAATTTTTTTAATGGCCAGTTATTTTTAGCCGCGTATAATTCAGCAGCAAAATTTTATACAATTCAAGCTATTTTCTTGCATATTACACATTCAGTTCTCTTTTAAATTATTTTTTTAATTCTTAATGTCAGGGTTCATTCTTCATATCTTAAAAAATCATTTTGCTCTGATCTCCGAAAAAACATTACGTAATTTCGACTGCATTTTCCACCACTATCTATCATCATTATACGTTTTATCACTGTTGATATTATATCTTCTCATGACGCATTAATATATTTATTTATCTGAAGTATAAACTGATATGAATAAATCTACTATGTCATATGATTTTTAATATATAACAATTACTTTCGAGTTGCATAAGAAAGATTCATAAGAAAAATTAAATTACCTTAATTCATATATATATATATATATATATATATATATATATATATATATATATATATATATGTTTTGATATACATGTGGACATTTTACCTTACGTAATCCTTTCAGCCAGCACTTAGTCAGAAGTATCAGTTTGACAAAATTTAATGAGGAATCAAAGATATAGAAAATTAAAACATTATAAATAATAAAGTGTGAAGATAAAATTGTGTAACGGGAGTAACACGATTAACAATATATTAGTGATAAAGAAACTTCTGAAAAAGTAATGAATATTCCCAGTTGAGTATAAATGGAAAAGATGCTCAAAACCTCGTAAATGTTTTCGGTAGTATTTGTATTTTTAAAACTGTATTTATTTTCTATGTTATCAATTCCTTCTATATATATATATATATATATATATATATATATATATATATATATATATATATATATATATATATACAGGACTTGAATTTTATGTCGAGCAGTTTGAACAATGGAAAAGGTACGCAGGCTTAAGGGGGATGTTGACTGACACACAGCTGCAGATGAAGTTGTAAAGAAAAATTTAATTTTCGCTAAACAACGAATCTGGTGTTGATTCTCATGGTTGAAGTTGATGCCAGAAAGTAGTGGGTGCATCAGCGACCCACGCCCATTGAGGAGGTTTAGTGAGAGTTATTGTTATCGAAGATTAGGAAAAGCTTATTCCCTAAAATTATGCCTATATATACGAATGCACCAAGCGAATAAGCCAGTCACAAGTAGAATAGAGAAGAGTCGGATTAGATGAGAGTCACAAATAATTATCTCCCGTAACGATGCTTCCGACTTCAGTCTTGTGCCAAACTTTACCAGCATCAGCAAACCAGATTATAGCCAGGCCGACGATAGTATCCATTCATATTTTGATGAGGCCGGGGCTGATTATTAATTGCATGCAAACTCTGATATAAACCAATATTGTACAAAGACTGATATAAAAACAATATTTACTATTGATCAATTTATTCGAGTGTTATTTTTTCTCTGTACGTCTTCACCCTGCTTGGACCAGCCCAACTCAAAGATACCTGTGACGATTCGCTCTTCACTGCCTTATGGTCTAATTATCACAAGTTGGGATGAGGTAGCTCTGGATTGAAGCGGTCACTTCAGCAACCAGACACGGTGTTGGAAGACTTGGAAGCCCGGCTATGGTGTTGCACAATTCCATTTCGTTGCTGAGACCACCGATCTTTCCTGAGAATTACGTTAGGTTGCCTTTGCTGAGTGTGAGGTTACACCAGTCCTCTTATATTGAAGTGAATAATGGACAATCTACACACAGAGGATTAAGAGAACCATGGACTGTATATGTAACTAACGAAGAACTTTTAGGTAAAGTGTAAAACAAGAAGGACGCTTATACTTAACTAGCAGCATGGTCCGGCGTTGCCCGTGCTTGATTCAAAAATAGTACGACTAATACAGCTATCGCTATCACTTGAATTAAAATATTTTTGCCCTTCCTTGTCTTTAGAGGAGTGTCCTTTGCCGTGCTGATTACTTCTTGCCTATATTACACCGCCAACTTTTTCTAAGCTCTATAGTAAATATTAAATCTGTTACGAAAAACTAAACAAAATAAACACAATACGATCAGCTTTAAAAAACCGGAAAAAAAAAACATTTTTAAGGGTTGACCGATTGTCGATTTGCACTCTGTTTGGGGGGTGCTCAGAGCTGAAACTTCACATGATGACTCCCAATGGCCTCTTCATAAATCCGCTCGGTTTTCGCTAAAAAGCGACACGCGGTTCAGACGCAATCTGGGCGTATCGGTTTTTGGGTTTTATCGATTTTCCGCGCTGTTTAGGGGTCCGTGGTCATGAAACTTCTGGACAACACTTCTAATGGTAGACTCTAAGAGGGTGTCAAATTTGGTTGAAATGCGATCATTCCTGATGTAAGCAGAATTTTTTCGATTATCGATTTTTTCGGAACCTGATTTCGAACTCAAAAATCGGGCTCTGTCATGTCCTTACGGCAGCCATTTGCAAACTTGTTGAAAACCGCATCGAAATCGGGTGAGAAATGCGACCTGGGCGAGGTAACAACGCCCACAACAGACACACAGACAGACAGCATGAGAAATATAGCTAGCTAGCTAGCTAGCTAGCTAGATATATACTAAGAAAAAGATGTGTTTTAGATGTCTTAGGCGCATAATGAGACATACACTATGAAAAGTTTGTTTACAGAATTTACCAATCACATATTCATAGAAAGCAGCGAATAGCGAACTACAGAAAATTATTTAGGTGAGTTAGCAAAAAGGTAATCTACTATCACACGTAAACCCTTCATATCATTTGGTAAAATGTTACGAATGTGTGGAGAGGCATATGATCGCATGGTAATATTTTAATCAGAATATACTTAGGTAATTCCATGGGAAAATAATTCATAATTTTGTAACTTCTTCACTTGGAATCTCTTTTGAAAAACACAAATTTAACGAATTCTTTCGTTTTATCCAAGGAACATAATTCAAAACTCGGTTCTATCAAAAATAAACAAAGAAAAAAAACCTTTCATTATGACCTCTTTGATATTTAATAATCTTAACCCAGAAGGTAATTTGTGTTATGTTTTCATCCCAACTGAATAGTGCCTGTCAACTAGACAATCAATTTACAAAATCTTGGAATTCATCTGGGCCCGAATAATGAATTTATGCACAAGAATGAAATAAACATCTATATATCTAAGACGCAGATGTTGGTATGCAATAAATATAGTTTAGCCTGGCAAGAGGCCATATAGCTCACACACCCACATATGATAGTACTCACTGAAGTACTTATTCATTGATGTTATTTTTAATCTATCTTGCCAGACATTGTATGAATATGTGACGTTCTAAGGGAGGAAATACCTCGCATAACATAAGCATACATACACACGCACTTACATAACTCTCATAGAAAAGAAACCTATTTATTTTTAATCGAAAATATTTCTAATTCTTATAAAAGTAATTTATTGAGTAAATATATTTGATCAGGCATTGAATGCTTAAGTTACGTCGTTCACGTTTCAGGTACTACATGAGAATTTTGTGAATGACGACGAAAATTTCCAACAAGATATATCCATTACTTTCAAAGGGTAATTGAGTCGCGTTTTGTTTTACAAACCCCCGAAGATATAGAGCTTAGAATTGCCTTTATAAATTGTGACTTCACAGAATTTAAAAAGAAAAAGTGAAACGTAAGTGAGATCCTTTCTCGAGGCAAATATTATTTAATAAATCTTTCGAAAATTTATTTTTGTAATCGTTAATTAAATTAATAAATATTAACAGATATATCGAAACATATGTGTGTACAAATATGTATATAAACATATTTAAGGCTCTGTTAATATGTCGGTTTTTCACTTAGTAAAACGTCATAGAACCGATATTCAGCGACAGTTACCGTCGGACAGCAATCTACTATATCAGCTTAACAGAATATCGTATTTGATGGTGAATATCTTTGTTTAAACGTTCACTTAACCACTCCAAAGATGGCTCAAGTGAGACGAAAGATTAGATCTAGGGAAAGCATAGTAAAACATATCCAAATGTTGGACAATTTCTGTCTTTATTTCCTTCCCAAATTATAGGAAACATAAGAACGGCTCATGATCAAACATAACTGTCATTTGTTATGTGTTATATTTATCAATATATGTTTGAATATATATATATATATATATATATATATATATATATATATATATATATATATATATATATATTTATAATTTAAAGGAAAAGAACACATTAAGGCTCCATGGAAATAATTTATTTCACCAGAGACTTTTATTTTTCTCTGGAGCTTCAGAAATCAATCTCAACATGTGAAACGAAAAATGAAATTAAAATTTAAACTTTTGACGGGCGGTATTAATCTTATATAAGTTCACATAGAAGGTGGCAAGGGATGGTGTGAAAGACATGATCAAGTTTAGAGAGGGAATGGCGTCTGTTATAAATTCTAGGAATTTAAGAATATTTGTGCAGATTTCATTGTTTATTTTTTTAGGTTAGGTTTCAACTGTTTTATGAATAAATCTTCAAGAATTTTTAATTTTTTTTTATTGTTTTCATATTTAAGTATAGTTGTGTTGTCAACAAGGATTTTCCGGAATTGAATAAGCGGGCATACATGTTGATTTAAATGTCTAA